GTGTCCACTATTTTGAGGACAAATACAGTTTGCATTCAAACTAATCACGAATTGTCTGTACTTTTCAAACAAATCCATTATTTTGTGACAACTTTTCAATTCATATAAAAGTCTTGTGTTTTCAGTCCAGAGCTCTTCCAACACATCATTCACTCCTATTTTAGGCATTATTTTAATCATAAAAACTATAATTTAATTGTGATTTCAATTGTATTTAAACTCAAATTCAATTCAATTGTGGAGTAAATTGAGTCCAAAAGTGAGTGTTTTGTCAACAGATCTCTCAAACAAACCATTCATTAATAACGTGTAAAATACAGAATAACTGTAAATACTTTTGTGTGAAAATGAGAAATATTTTATTTTATTTTAAATTAAACGTTCAGTTAATTGTAATTTAATAATAATTAACAAATTATAATATTTACAAAAACACATTAATATAATTTATTTCTTGATAGGTATGAGCCCTTCAGTGGTCTTATATTTGTGGACTTGTCTTAAGTGTTGTCGCGCACAGGGTTTGGATGTGAATGTCTTATCGCAACCCTCGACCGGACACTCGACCACTCGGAGGCCCTGATGTGCGTTCATGTGGTCCACGAGCTTATCATTGCTACCAAACCGTCGGTCACATGCGGGCCAACTGCACACAAATGGCAGAGAGTGTTGGCGTTTGTGTTGATATAAATAGTGTTTAGTTATAAACCCTTTACCACAACCCTCTCTATCGCAGACATACTGTTTCACTGCCAGATGTGTCTCTTTGTGGCGCATTATCAACGATAAGTACTTATACGCGGCCCCACACGCGGGCCAATCACACACATAGGGTCGAGCATCCGAGTGTTTTAGCTTGTGTTTATGCAGATCTTTCTTGGTATTAAATCGTAGGTCACATTCATCGCACCCGTATTCTCGCAGCTGTTCGTGTGATTTGATGTGATCGACGAGAATCTGTTTTGTGCGAAAAGCGGAGTCACAGCCAACCCATGAGCACCGGTACTGTCGGCTGTCCTCCGTATGGATCTTCTGATGCGTCCGCAGATACCCTTCCGTAGGGAATGTCTTGTGGCAGACGTCACACCCGAACGGCCGCTCCATTGTATGTTTGACCCGAATGTGTGCTAAAAGTGTTTCACTTTCGCCAAACGTTTTCTCACATCCAATGTATTCACACATAAAATGTTTAGATCTAAAGGGCTTTCCATTCGCGTCACGCGATCTGTCTTTATATTTCCTCTTCAGTGGAGTTGTCTTCAGGTTTTCACCACTTTTTCCGCTTTTCTGAACGCTTTTGTCATCCATTTCTTCATTACTTAAAGTTTGTTCCCATTTGTGGTCGGAATTATCGTCCGATTCATCCTTTTTGTTCAACCATTCACTCAACCGTTTTGTTGTTGTCTTCGCTTTATTGCCATTCAATGTCTTCTTTGAAACATTTGATTCACTTCTTGTGTCCTCTGTTTGTATGAGTTGTCGGACACTGTGTTTGTTGTCATCACTGAATGTGATGTCTTCGGGCACTGGATGTGCATCGAGTGATGTGTTGAATGACTTGATATCATGTGTGAAAGTGTGGTAAATGTGTGTCAATTGATTCCACGTGTGTTTGTGTCCACTATTTTGAGGACAAATACAGTTTGCATTCAAACTAATCACGAATTGTCTGTACTTTTCAAACAAATCCATTATTTTGTGACAACTTTTCAATTCATATAAAAGTCTTGTGTTTTCAGTCAATAACTCTTCAAACAAATCATTGATTAGTATTTTAGCCATAATTTCAATACAAATAAAATGAAAACTTAATTATAATTCAATTGTTTTCAATTCAATTGTGGACTAAATTGAGTCAAAAGTCTATGTTTTGTCAACAGATCTCTCATAAGTTATGAGTCATAACAAACCATTCATTAATAACGTGTAAAATAGAAACACTTTTGTATAAAAATGAAAAATATTTGACAATTTATTTTAAATTAAACGTTAATTAAATTGTTATTTAATAATAACTATTAATAAATTATAATATTTACAAAAACACATTAATATAATTTATTTCTTGATAGGAATGAGCCCTTCAGTGGTCTTATATTTGTGGACTTGTCTTAAGTGTTGTCGCGCACAGGGTTTGGATGTGAATGTCTTATCGCAACCCTCGACCGGACACTCGACCACTCGTAGGCCCTGATGTG